TTTTCATCTTCAAATCAATAAACAATCAAAGCAAATAAACTAAGTTTTAGAGAGGTATTTGAGATTTATCATTAAGTACCAAGAAGATGCTTGAATAATTCTTTAGCTATTAAAGAATTTACTTATAATAACAAACTACATTCTTTTATGCAACAAACACCTTTTTTTTTTGATTATGATTATCATCTATGACTTGATGCTTTTGACTTTTCAAAAGTTGACAATCTTGTGGCAAAAGATTTAGAATTTTTTTTATTTAAGCTATATACAATAATAAAGGTATATTTAAAAGAAACTCAAGAACAACAAAAAAATCAATGTTCATGGCTATCACAAGGAACAACCTCAATTCTATGTTAGCAACAAGATATTATTATTACTTTTTCATAATATCAAGATTAATAGTATTTGTGACAAATTGGATTATTATAGGCTTGGACCATTCCTTATTTATAAATTAATTAATTTAGTTGCTTATCAATTACATCTCTTAGAGTCTATAAAGATTCAATACATATTCTAAGTATCTCTTGTCGAGCCACATAAGGCACTGAATATCTTAAGAAAAAGACAAATGAGACCTTTTCCTATAAAAGAAGGATAATAATTAAGAGTTCAAGATGGAAGAGATCTTCGATTCAATGTGGCACTATGACATTATAACACAACTATAGTTTATGATAAAAATATAATCAAAAATAAAATTTTAATTGATATTTAATTATCTTCATTCAATAAAAATTCAAGATATTTAAACATGGCTTTTATAAAAGCCTCTTAATAGCTAGTAGATTAAAGGTTGGTTAATAATTTTACCTTTTAGATTATAGAGTTATTTTTATTACCTTAAAAAGGCCATAAATTGATAAAAATAAGATAGAAGAGGTAAATAATTAATATGATTGATACTAAGATTAAATTAAGGATAGAATTGGGCTAAAAAAATTTCTAAAATAGGTTGAATTGATATACAAGGATTGACTATTTGTGGAATAGGATCAAAATCAAATATCTAGCCACTAAAATGGTTACTTAGGGCAAAGTAGGAATTCAATTGAAGATCAATAATCAAAGTTTATGAGGTATCTTAAATCTTATTTTTAAAGTATAAGGCTTGTTTTTGCAAGGTTGGAAATAACTTTGCAATTATTATTCAAAGGTAAGGTTTGTATCAATGAATTGAGATTTATGTAATACAATTAGGGCTAGCACTCTTGGCTAGTTTGTGCAATTTTTGTCACATCTATAATTCAAAATTTGACAATATTTGACTGATTAGATGTTCTAAGTGTGTATAAAATTTTGTATTAATTTAAGACTGCAATTAAAAGATATTTGGATTTTAATAGAAGAAGATATTAAAAGTTGGTAGTTTGAAGTTGGATAGGATTTTTATAATATCTAAAGATCCACTTCTTGGATTAAGGTGAAATTTAGCATGGTGTTAGAAGACTTCAAGATCTAGCTACATACTGATTTTGAATTGAAGTTAATAATTGTAGAACGAGAAATCACTATTGGAACATCTGCATTAACTTTCAAGTTGGCAGCCAAGTGACATTAGTGTAGTTTTTGGGATTTTTCTCACAATCTATAAGTTAGATTGAATTGAAATCTTCTAAGCATATAAAAGACTTACAATGGCATTTATGTACAAAATTTTGTACTAAATAGATAGTCAAATTAGGAGTTACAACTCACGAAAGTTCATTGACTAGGATTAGGGCTTGCAAAGAGAAATCAAAATTACCTAATTATAAAAGTAATAAGACAATTAGGATTTATGCATGGTTGAGGTTACTAAAAAGAGTGTTTTTGAGCAATTTGTACTAACTTTAAGTACTTTTGAATTAAAATTCGAATTTTATTCTTTTTATGTGGATAAAATCTATTAAAATTTCTTGAATATTTAAAAAACACAACTTCACCTTCTACAACGAGATACTTGGTACACTTCCAAATAAGACAACATATATTACGACATTGCCAAAATAGGTTGGAATTTCTTGTTTACTAATATAGATATGATATTAGTGAATGCATATGACAACAAATAAAGAATTTTTCAAATACAACAAAGAAGGTTGATGCTTTTTATTGACAACATCTATTAAAACCAAGATAAAAAATAAAAAATATTTGTTTTAAAACAAACAAGATCTAGAGAAGATAACATTCAATTTTTTTTTATTTTCTTATTTGTAATTTTTGTGTATTTGTGGCACTAAATACATGGAGAACCAATAACCAATAGATTCAACTCAAGAGCTATTATTTATTGACTTATCAATCGAGACATTTCAATTGTCACAACCTTCAAGATGATGTAATAGAAATGAAGATCCTCAAGAACGATATGTTCTTCTTCAAATAAATGGTAAGATATAATACATTTGGTTTTACAACCTTAGAAGAGACTTCCAATGTTTTATAATTTTAGTAGAAGTATGAATGATTCTTGATTGTATTACAAATGTTTTGTTTGAAAGAAGTTATGAAGGCCTCAATAATGATCAAATAATAGAGTAGTCTTTTTGATTTGTAGTGGGACATTATCAAAAGCTATGAAAACATATCAACTATCTTTAAAGAAAACTAAGACTAGAATATGTAGCAAATACAATTTATGGCATCTTGGACTTCATCGACATGTAATTATTGCTCCTTATGAAACTCATTTCAAGAAATAAAGAGTAATGTTATGGACAAATACATTTACCTAGATAATATTAATAGAAAGTAAATGTAGATAGATTCAATATTATCTTATGGCCAATCTTTGTAGAAGCTTAATAGATGCACATTTGACTTTATATATGTTTATAATTGAATTATAAATTAGAAACTTGGCCAACAAATTAGCCATATGTCACACATGTGGATAGCTTGTATTACAAGCTTACAATGTGGTGCACATATAGAAAACTTACCTTACAAGTTAAGACATGTGTCTTACAAATTGGACATGAATTGAGGGTTGAATAGAATGTTGCTACATAGCTCCTAGTTAGATAGTATATATGGAGGTAATAGTAGAGGCTTCTTTAGACTTATTAATGCCTTTCAAGTCCTTAATCTTGTTTCAAGACTTTCTAATCTTCTTGTCTTTTGCAATAGCTATTTTAGTTTAATATTATACCATCTTTGAATGATGTTTTAGTCTATTTGATTGAAACAAGTATTTATGGATCTTTTAGTTCTTTGAAATTTATGTCTTTGTTATTGTGTACAATTTTGATAATTTTTTTTTCTATTTAAAAAATAAAATAAAATAAAATAAAATCTTAGATAGTTTTTTAGAAGGTTTTATTGACTATTGTTTATTAAAGATTAGTTGTATCTGAACTTAAAAGAAGCTATAATAGGCAATTTTTTCATATGCAAAGTTTTAAACAAATTTTTAAAACAACATTACTAAGATCAAGTACTAACATGTTTATTTTATTTTTTTGAATGTCTTCTATTATAATTATATTGTGCATACATCCACATGCTATGCAATGATACAATCTATATCCAAATATTCATTACATATCTATATAGAACAAAGATATCTTTCAATTTATAATTACAATGTACAATTTTTTATTTAATTATATCATTGATGTAAAATATATTCATGTATTTTTTATTAATTCTAATGATAAATATTATATAATATAATAAGAAAAATTATAAATATATAATTATTTGGAATTTAATAAAAAAATTATATTGATATTTTTATTTATATTATATATTTTAATTCAATAAAATATTATATAAAGAATGTATTGTACTAATTTATAAGTAAATAATGTATGTTGTTGTATCTTAGTATGTAATATATTCTACTTGGTCTTTGATTTTAATATTTAAAAATTATATATTTTTTCATATATAGTAATTTTTATTTTATCATTAATAAATATATTATAATTTAATTATTTAATTTACAAATAAGAGTTTTTTATACAAATTATTAAATTATATTTACTAATAAACAACAAATAACTTTGTTAATCTTGCAAATTTTGGTGGTTTATATAATTTGAAATTTGGAGATAAAAGCCTTGAATGACTTGAAGGTAGTTTGTGAAAGTTATGTCTTAAGTTATGATTTTCAATAATTAAATGTTTATCAATTCATTTATATTATCAAATATTCTATTTTGAGGTATATTGTTGTAGTTCAAAATATCATGTACATAAAATAGTACTACATTCAAATAATATTGTATCATATGCAAAGGATCTAGTCCTATGATTTGATTATCTATCCATGGAGTTGATTTGACAAAATGAAAAATGAAAAAATTAAAAAATAAATCTTAAGACAAAGAAAATGTCTCTTTAAAACATTGTGGACAATTGTTTGGCTTTAATCTTAGTAAATATTTATGTATATTTTAAATTATTTAAAAACCCATAAATCTAAACATGTTTTTAGAAAACACCCACAATAAAAAAGAATTGGTAGTAAAAGTAAAAATAAGGTTATGTAATTATGCAGAAGTTACAGAAGTTGCAACTCAGCTTTTCTCTGGATTTTTTTGAAGCCACCTTTACTACTATGATACTTCTTTTTTTTCAACACATTTTGAAAAGAAAAGAAGTATTACAACCACATCTATATTATAAGGAAGCTTAGGTATAAAACAAAGAGATAAAGAAGCTTTCTCATTGGCTGAAATCTAAAAAATTGCTCAGTAGCAAAAAAAACCCTATGTAACCTACAGAAAGACCTCCCACATATAATATATTATATGTATACAACTTTTCCATGGCCAATGGCACAAGTTTCTGTCAATATGTATATATGTATATGAAATAAAAACCTACCGCAACCACGAAATTGGTTACAAAAACTAGTTTTTTCACAAAATTTCATATAATAAAAATAATGACATAATAAAAAATAAAAATCCACCGTGAACACCATGATTTTGGAAAAAATAGTCATTTGCTTGTGAAAACCCTAATGGGATGTGAAGGGAAGAGTGTTTCCCATGTCGCCCGGCGCTGTCGATGATAATCTATCGGCTCCGAGGGGCCGCACGACATCTCCTTCCATTTATGGCCTCGTCGATGTGGTCGAGTCGCGGTGATTCTGGTGGAGAGGATCCCCCGCTTGTGGATCCACAATCGACTGACTGGACCCAGTCATCATCTTCCACATGCTTGTAGTATTTTTCTCCTCCAGCTCGTCTCTGTGCTTGTGTCTCGATTGAAACGCGGGTGTTGTAGAATCCCTTGGTAGGATTTCTCGAATTCGGATCCGGATTTTGGGTCGTGAATGTGGTTACTCGTTGGATCGACCTTGTCAGGTGGCTCTGACATAGGATGATTGTGATTGTTCTGCAATTGAAGCTTAGAATGAATATTTTGGTGTCGATGTTGAAGAGGCGGCGTTTATCTCTAGGGTGGTCAAACTTTGTACAACTGTCTTGAGGATTTGGATTAGGTTGTTAGATTGTGGCGTGTCTTGTAATGCGAGCAAGGTCTTGCGGGGACATTGAATGTTGTGGGGGATGGGCGATGTTCGAGGTACTGAGGTTCATATCAAAAAGTTTTGTTATTTGATGAGCATTGGCTTGTGGTTGCTTCAGAGAGTGGATAGTGGGGGAGCTGTTGAGAGGTATGGCGTCGTCATTGAGCGTGCGAGTTGGGAAGGCCTTGCCCGCTGTGGCATTGGCGATTGGGGCCGCGGCCCTGCTTTTCAGGGACGTCGACGAGGCATTCAAGCTTCTCGAGAAAGGGTGCCCGGACAGTGCTGCGTACTCTTGGAGATCTAACATTCCCGTGGTAGACAAGATGCTTTGCACCCTCGTGAATTTCTTCTTTCGTGCGCAGAGCTCCGACGACGCCAAATGGGTGACAGGATACATTGCAACACTAGTCGTCTCGCTTTTGGCCTTCATGGCCGTAGAAGGATCCAGGATTAAGTCCGGATTGTTTTTATCCGCCACATGGTTTCATGGGCTCCTCCTGCAAATTTTGGGGGTGTCGGTATCCTTCCCTCTGTTCTGGCTGCCCGCGTACTTCCTCTACGATGGAGGGAACCGCGAGGTTAGTCAAGTGTGGAATAAGAAGATTTCCTTGGCCCGAGTCGCCGCCATAGGTTTCGCCTTCCTCTTCTTGTGGTTGAACATCATCGCGCTCTTCTTTCCGCTCAAGACCGACCAGAAGCAGTTGGCTTGCTTGATTTTCCTAGTTATGCCAGCCATCGTCACCACTTTGTACCTCCCCTTTACGACCTCGCCCGACGCGCCGCAGCAGAAGGGTCACAAGGGGGTGATCGCTCTGCATCTCCTCCAAGCCGGACTAGGTCTCACATGGCACCTGATTGCTGTCTTGTACGTTCTCCGCGACCCTGAGCTTATTAGCCGCGTTATAAAGCTCTTCACCTCGTTCAAAACGGAAGAGTACCCAGTCTATTTCGTGTTAATCGACCTAGTCGCGCTTTTCCTGTCTTTCGTTTACCTCACGGCAGTTGAGGACGGCTTTCTCATTGCCTTGCTAGTGTCTGTGGGAGCTTTTATTTTTGGGCCGGCATTCGTTGTCTCAGCGTTTTGCGTCTACCGAGAGCAGTGCATCTCCAACGCAGTCTCTGTCATGAGAACCAAGAGGAAAGACTGAAGCCTTGCACAAGGTGAATTTGAAGTGCCTTCTCTGTGTATGTAAATTACCACTTGATAAGGGAGCTGTAAGGCGTTAGGTGTGTACGAATGAAGTTTATTTGTTCATTTGTAGGATGTGCAGAAGAAGCCTTGAATCACATACAATACTATTTTATTTTGGCAAACTAAATATCTTGTGCTAAGAAAGAACCAAGATGTTTTTTCTTTAATTGTTGGAAAACCTCCACAATTCATCTCATGTTCATTTTATACACCTAACCATCTCTCACATTGGTCGTCATGCTTTTATGCGAGTAGTGGACCAGAACTCATCACCAGAAAGCAAGAGTGGAAGAGGTAACCCACTGCTTGGTAAAGTCGACGATGAGATCAGAGTTCGCTTCCTGTGCTGAGAGAGAAGAATGCTTGTCTTGGGTAGAATCGAGAGGTATCTGTCATCTTCTCAAAGCCAGTGCAATTTGATGATTGCGTTATTTTTGAGAAGCATAGGAAGAAGAGCAGTAGAAGACTGGAACTTTTTCTTTGTCCTACAATTTCCTCTGCAGTTTGATCACTGTCACCAACAGTGTGCATCCTGCTACAATGTCTCCAACAGATGTGGGTCACTATCGGAAGATCTTGATAGTTCGTCTTTCTCAACACCGCATCCGTCCGCCATGACTAAAAACTGCTTTAGTTACCCTTTGGTCGGCTGAACTCAGCATCTGATTGTGGGAGAGTACATTTATGATAATGTCAGGGCAGAAGGGAATTCCTCATACTCATGCCTCCAGTCTCCTGACACATCAGATATGTCATCCAATGCGCAGACAACCTTCAGACGAGTCAACTTCGAAAGTTTTCACGTGTTGATGTCTTTTTTTTCAAATCACTTTGCAATTGATCACTGATTCCAGCGTCTAGTACTGATAGTCCACTTTCTCGCAAGTGACTTTCAATGGGGAAAACCGTGATAGATTAACTTCGACACTTCAGACCGTTATCTCTTGGCCATTTCGTGAACAAGTAGCTTCTTTCCATGAAATATCTGCGAAGTTGAATTCTCAACCCAACCGAAAGCGCCAGTGATTTTCCGGTGAACGGCCTCTGATGTGCCAATAGGAATAGTCAGGAAATAGTAAGCGAAGACAGCTTCAATAACACCTAGGAGCGCACCTGCAATGACATCACAGAAGAAGTGCCGCCCCAGGATGATACGGGAGGAAGTTGTGGCGATGGCCCAGCCAGTGACTATACTCGCAATCAAATTTATAAGAATGGCCTCTGCGGTAGGCACAAATTCATTCAATATGTTCACCCGCCTCTCAAGTTTTTGCTGGAGATATGGTAACCATGATCGATGTGACTGGTCTCTCCACATTGGAATGTAGAGCCAAAAAGTTGTGTATACCAACAAGGCCCGTGTGGAATGGCCGCTAGGAAATGACCAATGATCCACTTGCATCGTCAGAAAGTGATTGCGGTTGTAAACTGGTCGCGGTCGGCGGACAATCTTCTTAACGATGGATACAAAAATCATGTCAAAGACATAGGCCATGAAGAGGTTGAAAAAAAAAATGCGAACCTCAGGTGTGAGTTTGGATTTGGGCGCAACGTACGTTGCAGCTGCACAAGTGATGAGGAATAAACCATCACCCGAAAACTCCAAGGATCGCAAAAACACGTAGAAGAACATTCCCAAGCCATGTTCATGTACCCACGCGGAAAACTTTCTGTCAAATGCCACGATATGCTTGAGAATGCTAAGTTTCGACACAGTTTTGCTGTCGTTTCTTTGCTGGTTTACATGTTCACGATTAACATATTGAACAGCTGAAGTTGTTTCCTTCCCTGGCAACGGTGGCTCTATAGAACTATCTCTCTGCGTCCGCTTTCTCGACTGTCGCAGAACCATAGCTGCAATGCCTCCACGCTACCTTCAGTCTCTGCAGCCGTAATGTTCGGAACACAAAGAAGATATGTGACGAGGATCTGGATCACGCGATCTGACACTCAACGCATCAAATTTCTGCGAAAATTGGCTCATTGGCCGCACAAATGAAGGGATGTCAGAGACCACAGAGCTTCTGAAGACGATAATAGAGTTGCTAGTATCAATTTACCCCCAAAAAAGATCTCTATGAGCATATCCCAGCACGTTCGTATCCATTTCGAATCGAGACTTTAGCCGATGCGGCAAAGCTTAGCAAGAAAGTCAACGTCATACGAAAGCTCCGTACTGGTACCCCGATGTACAAAGGCCAATTTTTCTGCTCCGGAAACAATCCGCTTTCCACCGATTGATAGAGAAATTCTTGCACCTTCAAACTTTCACAAGAATTGAGGAGCCTGTTCTGATCATTCATGGCCTTCAACTGGCTCCATTGTGACAAATTGTTGACAAGATTCTGAGCGGGTTTCACACCGTCCAAGCCTTGAATCGAGCCTGAAACTCGCTACCAAGACGCGTATCAGTGAAAATCACTGAGAGTCCGAATACGCATTTTGTCCCGTGCAAAGCACCACAAGATTGCCTTCTCCGTTGCCATCAATCAAATCCCTTGGCTACCCTGAAACTTCCACAAGAAACCGTGACTCTGTGCTCCGCTGCAATTCGACTCTTTCCGATCTCCTCCACTGATCGGATGCGTCACCTGCCGCTCCAGAGCGGCATGTAGTGGGGCCTAGTCAGAGGCCACGACTCACAAATCTCGGGGATTTGGAGGTTTGACTCCCGCGCTCTCTCTCTCTCTCTCTCTCTCTCTCTCTGGGCTCTGCTCCATCCAAATCCAAACCCTAATTTCGGCTCGTCGCATTGTCGGTAGCTATCCTTGGAGCCTGCGTCAACACCATTAGCTCTGTTTCTCTCCGCAATCCAACACGATCTCATGCTCTCATCCCTGCACCGACAGGTTTGAGACCCTTACATCCCGAAGCGTTAGGGGAGTTTTAAAGTTGTGAGCATGGAAGGATTCTTTCAAGTAAAAAAAGTAGCTCTCAGCTCGATGAATGTAATTTTCTAATAAAAAGTGAAATTGAGGAGGGTGTGTAGAAATGGGTTTAATGTAGGTATGCCACAAATTTTGCCACTTCTGTGCAGTACAATTTAGAGATAGTATGACACTATTGAAAAAAATAGGATTTTTATAATTTGGATCAAGTTTGTATAAGAATGTGCTTCAATTATTGAGATTTAGTTTTTGGGTTTTTGAATACGTTTTTGTGATGTTGATTAACTAAAATTGAGTTAAGATAGAATTATAAAGGAGAACAAATACTCATTTGTAATTCTTGTACATACAAGAATCCCAATGCAATCATGAGTATATTTGAAGAATTAATAATAATAGAGGCATTTATAGTGCACAAGGAAAGTAGATAATATTATCTTGCATTTTTTTTTTTTTTTTTTCTAGTAAATATCTTTTTTGGTTTTATAAGGCATTATATATATTTCCTATTAAAAATAAAACCTTACAAGGTTGACGTAGACTATGAAGTTGTATATAAAGATTTGTATATAAAGAATAACATATATTTAAAATAAATTATTATTACTTATATTTTTAGGAAAAATTGATCAATTTTATAATATTGCCTCTAAAGTAGAATTTTTTATAAATGTATTATTGTGTATTCATCTATATAAGAGGCCAAGATGGCTTGTTCCAACTTGAAATATCTTTTTACAAGTTGCTTCAAAGTGTGGTGCTAAAATGAAAACATATTAATTAACAATTTCAAAAATTAATTATTATAACATGTATAATCTAAATCACTTGTCCATGGATGCTAATGAAGTCAATCTTGGATATGACTAATGTAATCTAAATTAGAGATATTTTAATTTGTTTATTACGATTTTTTGTTTTTTTGTTTTTTTTGTTTTTTTAATTATTTGAGTGATTTGTGATTGTTACTATCAAGGATATGTATCTCAAATAAATAAAAACTCAATACACTCTTATATAATTGAAAAGGAGTAGATACTTATTCAAATTTTAATATAGTATTAAAACTGAAATAGCAATTTTCAAAGACAAGAAGACTACAAAGACTTGAAATAAGATTAAGGACTAAAAAGTTGTTGATAAGAATAAAAAAGGCTTCACTCTTACTTCCATATATACTATCTAATTAGGAGATACATGGCAATGTTCTATAGGATCTCCAAAATATATCCAACTTATGAGACATATATCTTAACTTGCAAGGTAAGTTTTCTATAAATGTGCCACATAAATAGCTTGTACCACAAGCTATCAACATGTTATCATATTACATGAAGCCTGTTTGAAAATGTACTCGACATTTGGTTGTCGAAAAAAGAATGGAACTTGCAATAAGATGATTTTAACAATTCTAATAGAATCCTAAATAAACTTTAATTAAAGTATAAAAATGCTAATAAAACTTTCATTAAATCCAAAATAAGTCTCAAGAATTTATAAAAGAAATATAAAAAATCATAAATTAATCTTAATAAAATATATATAATAAAAAAATCTTAAAAAAATCAAGAATAGAAATTCTAATTGAATCCTAATAAAATCCTAATTTAATCCTAAATCAATCTCAATTAAATTTTAATAAAATCTTAAATCTTGAAAAAATCCTAATCAAATTTTAAAGAAATCTCAATCAAATCTTAGATATATCCTAATCAAATTTTAGACAAATCCTAAAAAAATATTAATGAAATTTTAAATAAATCTTAATCAAATCTTAAATATATCTTAATCAAATCTTAGACAAATTCTAATCAAATCTTAAGCAAATCCTAAATCTTAACTTTAAATCAAATTCCAATAAAATTCTAAATCCTAATAAAATTCTATAAAATCTTAAAAAAATTCTAATGAAATCCTATTCAAATTCTAATCTCTAATTTTAGATCAAATCCTAATAAAATCTTAAATCTTAAATAATTCCAAAAAAATCCTAAGTAAATTTCAATCAATTATTGTAGCTATTTGAAACCTCAATAAAAATTAATTGAACTATAGATCTTAATTATAATTTTATCCAAACTTCAACTAACAAGTAATTATCAAGCATATAAAATTTGAGAAGTATCAAACCTACCAATTGCAAGAAAAGCTTCCAAAACCTCTCAATCATTAGGTGCCTTCCTTATCCAACTTGAATGTTGATCTTTCAACATCTATTTTTCTTTGCTGAATTGTTCTATTGCTCCAAAAATTGGATTGTGTGTAGATATTTAAGTCTTAATTGCTCAAACAAAATTTTGCTTCAATCCAACTTACAGATATTACTAGATCTTGGAATTTTTTTATTAATCCTAAATCTGAAATTTCCGAGACCATAACCTACAAAAATCTTCATTTGTTTTAATCAAATTACTGGATAGATCTCAAATTTTTCACTTACATTTACAATAATCATAATAAAAAATTTCTTAATTTTCACTTGTACAAATGCTACAAAACTCAATAAATCCTCAAATTTGTAAAAGTATTTTTATTTTTTAAAATCTAAATCCACTTAATACATCACTAACTATGAAAATTCTTTAAAATCTTAATATTAATTCAAATGGCATGAAATCAATACTTAAAACTTTTTCCTCAAGTTTTCTCTCAAATTTTTCTCTTTAATTTGCAAAAGAACTCAAGAGTTGCCATAGGTGTTTGGTTTTGTGCCTAAGGATCTTATTTTGAGCTAAGTTGGTGTGGTGCCTAGGAAAATCATTTATTTTAAATTTTGTAGAAATAGATTAGGAAAGATCTGAAGAAGAAGCTGTTAAGTAAGAAGATAGGAGATAAACAGTGAATTAGGAATATAGTGTTAGAAGACTGAAGAGAAGGTCAAAATCCCAAAGATGGTTATCTTGAAGATCTTCGGAAATTTACATTTGGAAGATGACCTCCAAACAGACCTTCGACCTTCGAGATTAGCTATCTTCTAGATTTTACACTTAGTAGGATAGAGTTAGAGTTTATTGGAGAAAACCTTTTTGTACATTTTTCGAAGGCGATGGACCTTCAACCCATTTCTTAAAGGAAGATGAGCTAGTCCGAAGACCAGAAGTTAGGAATTATCGGCAAGCTCTTCAAGCGAAGGATCACAGATTCATAGCGACAAGAATCGCAGACTTAGAGGATGTGGATTTCGTGCAGTCACCGAAAAGGAAACGTAAGAGCGGAGCTGTAACCACTACACGCAAGAAACGAAGGCAGCAACCCGAAGATGTGCCCTCGGATCAGACAATTCGGATGGACGGGCAGGACCAACCTGAAGATGAGGTCGTTTCTCACCCGCATGTGCAGGAAACTGAAGGTGAGAAGAGCGGAGGTGCCTTTCGAAGGGCCTTCGGAAGAGCCACAAAGAGCAGGACATTCGGAAGCAACTTCGGAAGCAACTCCACAGGGAGATCGAAGATTTGAAGGCCTTCAACCAGCGAGCTGAAGGAACTCTGGAACGGGCTAGGAAGATCGATGAAGAATGGAAGGCGGCAGTAGTAGCGGCACAGAAGGCTCTTGAGAATCTTTTAAAAGTCTCAGTTGACACATTTTCTACTAAGACAGAAGGTACTGGACCTTCACGTACTTAGTAAAACAGACCTTCGACCTTCGAGATTAGTGTATCCACAGTTATAACAGATTTCAGTTAGTTAGTTAGAGGTAGGTAGTTAGACCTTTCCGAACTGGAGTAGTATAAATAGAGAGGGATCTG